GAACAGAGGAAGGATCTGATATTGTGATATTCCCTGAAGTGGAGCCACTCACTATCAATTGATTTTCACTCAAACATACGCATGTTATTGGTGCATAGTGCATTCTGCAGACAGCAAATTGTACACATCATGAATGCTAGATGACATGTTTAAGTTATTCATCAAGCAATACATATGAATCGACCTACAAGAATAGATTATCAATTTTATATATGAATAGGATCATTTCTTTTAAGCCATCAGAAAAGATAACTGTACCCTTCAAGTTCAAGTTCAGAATCTTTTCTTAATAAACTTAAATGTTGCTGACCATTTATGTACAGAAATTAAAATAGGAAAAACTATAAAATACCTTATTATTTGAGAACATCTCCTACTGTACATATCAAAAACACGAATGGCTCCATCATCACATCCAACCACAGCTTCTGGATCAAAGTAACTGAAAGCACAGAACCAAGAGAAAAAGGAAATTGAAGATATCATGTTAGCTTTGTTGTCTTTACTTCTACTAATCATCTGTCAATATCTACTGCTATCTCACCAAAGTTTCCCCCTCAAACTGTCGTATTATAAATATGAATGGCAAAAAGGTGTAGCATCAAGCATTGCAAAGTCAACTTCGCAACTGAATTTGAAAGTACTTGAGAGACAAGATAAAAGAGATTAGGGTACCAAAGAGCTTGAGTGTGCTACCTTACACTCAGCTTCAAATGTGTATATATATATATATATATATATATATATCAAAAACAGAGGTACAATGAGAACAATTAGACAAAAAAGAGAGATTACAGTCTGTATCCCTTTGACTCCAGCTACAGCAGTGGAAAAGATAAAAACCAGCCTTTTCCCAGACATATAACAATACAAAATATATATTAATCTAACACTACTCCTCCTTGAACTAGAGTATATAAATTGTATGCTCCAAACTTGAAACATATGAATTGAATCCATGGCACTTTTGCCTCCGAAACCACTGGGGATGAGTTGCACACAGGAGGTGAATCTGTCCAACTTGATAGTCAGGCATTGAAGACTTAATTACCAAGCTTCAGTCCGAATTTTCTCTGAAAGATCTTGGTGACTTGGATTGTTTCTTAGGTATTTAAGTCAAAACTCAATCTGATGGATCTCTCATTTTAACTCCAAGCAAATATATTTTAGGCCTGTTATCCATAACCAACAAGGACGAGTCTAAACCCATATCATCACCTATGGTTGGAGGTCACAAATTGTCAAAATCTGTAGTGAACTCGGTAAAATTGGAGTGAACTCTGTAAAATCGGAGTGAACCCAGTAAAATTGTGACTTTGTGAATGATTCCGTGGTTTTACAATTTTTTGAAAAACTGCTACATCACCCATAAATGACATCATTGAGTATTTGTGAAGCCTTTAAGCCTTCCGTTGCTTTGTGACTTTCACTATTCACCCTAAAACGTAAGCGTTTCTTTGTGACAAACTGCTACTCAAAGAACTCTGTTGTTGCTGCTGCTGTTTGTGGATTTCCTGCCAATCGTTGCTTCTGTTGTTCACGAACTCCGTCGTTTTTGCAAAGATGTGAGGCTATTGGAAAATATGGAATTGGTTACAAACCCCCTTCTTGTCATGAGACAAGGGAAAAGATTCTAAAGAAAGCAGTTAGTCAAATTGATTCAATGCTTAAAGAATTTAAACAAGACTGGAAGAGGACTGGCTGTTCAATCATGTCTGATGGATGGACAAATAAGAAAAGGTGTACCTTCCATTTGCAATTTAAGGTACTATCTTTCTCTAAAGGTACTATCTTTCTCTAGTCACTAGACACATATGACGTTTATAAAACAACTAAAAAGGTTTTTAAGGTGTCATATGATGTTGTTGAATTAGTTGGAGAGGAGAATGTAGTCCAGGTAGTGACTGACAACACTGCAAATTACAAAGTAACAGGATAAGTGTTGATGCAAAAGAGAAAGAATTTACATTGGACTCCATGCGCTGCTCATTGTATTGCTTTGATATTGGAGAATTTTGAAAAACATTTAAAGGTGCATCAAGTCACTATACTAAAAGGAAGGAAGATCACTACCTACATTTATTCTCGTACTATGTTGATTAGCATGTTAAAAAAGAAAATTGATGGGAGGGACTTGATTAGGCTGGGTTTGACTAGGTTTGTTACTGCTTATTTGACTTTATAATGTTTGAATGATAATAAGGCAGCAATTATGAACTTGTTTAATTCAACTGAATGGAAAGAAAGCAAGTTTTCAAAAACACATGATGGAAAAAAGGTGCAGTACACAACTTTGGACAATCGGTTTTGGAAGAAGGAAATCAGATGTCTTAAGGGTGTTGCTCCTCTTATTCAAGTCCTTCGCTTAGTGGATTCTGATGAAAAACCTACCATGGGTTTCATATATGATGCAATGGATTCTGCTAAGGAAAAGATAAAAAGCAACTTCAAAGATGTTAAAAAATTTTAAGCTTCCTAAATTTCCATTTACTTGATTTTTTTTCATGTTTCTATTTCTAGTAAAGAAAAAACCTAATTTAGTTTGTATTATTTTGTATTTTTAGCTATCGACCTGTTTGGATAATTATTGATGAGAGGTGGGACAACCAACTCGATATGCCCCTACATACAGCTGTGTATTACCATAATCCCCAATTCCACTACAACTCTAACTTTAAAGAAGATGATTATGAGGTTAAACAGGGGCTGTTTGATTGCTTGACAAGGTTGGTGGATGACAAGGCAGAAAGGAGCAAGATTAATTTGCAATTTCCAGCGTTTCATTATTATAAAGGGCATTCTAATCTTGAAAACTGCAACGGAGAATAGACTGAAAATGACTCTTGCTGAATGGTGGGACTTCTATGGTGAAGGTTGTCCAAACTTAAAGAGATTTGTCATTCGTGTTCTCAGTTTGTCTTGTATCTCCTCGGGATGCAAACATAATTGAAGTTCATTTGAGATGGTAAATTACTAATTTTTAATTAGGAAATTAATGTTTAATAGTGTAGATATGTTATTGTTAAGATAATTCTGTTTAGATATACTAGTTTATCTTCTCCTAAGTTCTAGTTTAGTTTCCTTAGTCAGTTTTATCTAAATCCCTAAACTTTAGGGATTGATTATATTTTATGCCTATTTATTTTATTGTACTCATTCAGATTTATCAATAAGAAATTATTCATATTCAAGTTGGTACCAGAGCACTCTGGTCCAGGAACCCTAATCCAGCAGCCAACATCTAGGATTTCTAGGGTTTTTGAGTTTTGTCCGCGGTTGTCGGAGTTGACACCGCCTGCACACTCAGAGGTCGCCGATTGGCCTCTCTGTCGCGAGCCACCGTCAGCCGCCGTCTCACGCGCTCTCACGCGCGGTTCTTGTTGAGGAAGCTCG